TGAGATCCAATATCCAACAAGATAAAATACCACAAGACTGGTCATTTTCTTTTTAAAAAAAAGAATCCAAAATATCTATATAAAAGTGCCATGTCACTTTTGTTGTAAAGTGTCTGCAATAACACAATGATTTCAGTTTAGCATTTCTTCAAACCAATATTCCAAGCATCTGTCAGGTTAGGGACCTTGAAGGCAAGTAAAGGTGATTACAGAGTCTATGCACAATCTCTATGCAAATATAGCCAAATAAACACATGATTTTTTTTCTGGTGAATACAATTCAATCTTTTGGCATAAGTCATTCAATGTATAGCGACATCTGAAAAAACAGATTTATAAATATTTATTAGTAACATTCTACCACATTCATAACTTACATCTTCTAAAAGCTCTATAATTGGTTTGTAACCTTTGTCCTAGACTATGTGTTTTGCCAAGAGTACCCAAATACCAGACAGCAGTCCAGAAACTTATTTATCCTGAACACAGACTTTTATCACACTGAATCCTCTTTTCCACATGTTCAAAGCTCAGACGACAGTCCTGGTTTTAAATGTGCGAGTCAGAGCAGGAATTTCCTTACTCCTGCTCTGACTCGCACATTTAAAAACTGCTTATTTGCCAATGAGACAGGGATTGGGCAAACAAAAAAAATTCTTCTAAGGAAGAAACAAAATGGAGTTAAATGGCAGGCAGAAAAGGAGATTATAATAAGTAAGCAGAGAGAAGCAGCTCCAGGAAGGCTGGAGGGTCCCACCTGAGATCAGGAGGGAGGTAGATGGGAGGAGGCAGAGGTTGAGAAGAGGTTGGGGAGAGATCGGGTATTAGGAACAAAGGAAAGGGAGCATAAGGGTAATAATAATCCTTGCCTTTGAGAAAAGTACTTAAGTCAAAATGTATCTAAGTGTTCCACGGTTTAAAGTTGACAAGTGACTGTATTTGCAGGCAAACAGAGTAGCCAATATTGTGCAAAGCAATGTGCTACAAACTCCATTCTCTTTTTTGATCAATGCCATCAAATCTTTAAGTTCCACCTGAACACAAGACCTTGGTTTATCATCTCATCCAAATAACGGCACCTCTAAAAAATGCAGCACTCCCCAAGTATCACGCTGAAGTGTCATTAAATGATACTACATTTTTTGAGCCTTTTGCAGTAACCAGTTGTACTTATATATTGTAACTCTTTCATAGGTCACCATTTTAGTCTAATTTTGAAAAATATGCTTCACGCACATTCAGTGCCTCTAGAGAACAGAGAAATTGCATCCATGGATTGGCAACCAAGTATTCACACTACATTTAGTTTAGGTAGTTATACCAATTCCCCATAGGAATTTCCTTCATTTACACCTAGATGTTTTATATCAAAATGTGTTGACAGCATAATATTAAACACAACTGCATCATGTGCATGATGATGTTGCGTAGGCTGTGTGACGACTTCACCCAACACCGCATGAACTTTCCTTTCTTGAACATGATTATGGAACTCGCATTAGTCCAAAATAAATGTCGTACCAGCATGCAGACCAATGCCCAATTGTCAAACATCTTTACTTTTATGGAAATCTCCACCAAAACAAAGAGTCTGTCCAACATGTATTCAAGGTGATCGATGACAACAAACACAAACTGATGTTATCAGCCTACTGTGTGTCTTGTATGCAACAAAATTATTGTGATGAAATATGTACATTTCCCATAGCATCTTAATCACCACTGTAACCTACCAAAACATTGTGGGCCTCATAAGGCTAAAAACAGGCAAAGATATTTTCTATATGCAAAGAGATGAAGATGTCATGCTGACCTTTTCCTACAAATGATAACAATGTGGACCAAATTTCAGGAGAAATTACTCTTCTCCCAGCCTTTTATTTTGCACTGACTTCTTATAATATAATAATAATCCTTGCATTTGATATAGCGCTTCTCATGTCTTCTCGATGTCTCAAAGCGTGACTTCTTCTGCACACTTACGTGAGTTTTCCATTCACATGTTTGAGGGTCCAAACAACCCTGTAAAAACAACTTGAACTTATATAACGCTCACCACACAGTGTAATGTCTCAGAGGGCTTAACAGTGGTGGAGTCTGAGTTGGGGGGTGGGGGGGGGGGGGGGGGCAGGTGACCATGAGCACAGACGAAAAGGAAAGTTTTCAGGTGGGACTTGAAAAAGGGGAGAGAGCGGCAAGGTGGAGGGAGCGTTCTTCCAGAGTTTTGGGGTGTAAACTATTTGAGTTCACTATTATTATTACTAGATCTCAAGACAAATCCATAATTACTGTCTATCACCATATTCATGAGGATGATTTCTCATACATACTATATTATATACTTTTTATATTATATATATACACACACTTATAATAGTAACATACTCATTATATATGTTAATCTATGAATCAATTCTGCCAAAAATGTTCTCTGAAAACGCTTTAATGCAGAACAACAACTCAAATTAATTTACAGGGATGGAAGGGGGTAGGGGTGAGCAAAAGGAGGTCACCAAAGAGGTGGGTTTTAGAAGGGTTTCAAAAGCAAAATGTGAGGATGAGAGGCAAAAGCATTTTCAGAGATTCCAGACACTGCGGGCAAAGTGGCTGAAAACTCACCAACTTAAATGGTAGAGCGAAGGGTGCAGTAAATGGAGTGGGCAAGGAAAGAGGACTGCAAAACATCAGAAAGAAGATGGAGCAAGGGCATAGAAACATTTGGAAATTACAATGAGAATCTTGTAATTAATCCAGTGGGGGAATAGAGAGCTCGTGGACCCTGACAAGGATGGCCCTTGTGGCAACCTGGTATGCTAAGCCTTTCATTATTAACTATCATTGTAGTGCTTCATCCTCCAGTTATTAATTTCATGGTTGTTCAGGGGACATTGCTGCAATCAGATTGGCTGCCATAGTTTCCTACAAACACATAATTGTTCCACTTGACAGAAATTACCCGCGAGGCAATTTGACATATCCAGTAACATAATACTGGATAACACAGGCAATAGCTCCAAATGTTGCAATACATATACTAAACATGGGATAGGATAGGTTAAAAGCTGTGGCACCCTCAGAGAGGTTAGAGGATATTTCCAAGCGCTCAAGCTTCACTCTTCTGGTGCAGATCAGACACCCCCAATCTCTTTCTCAAGTGTAATTTGTAAATATGGACAAATATAAGCATCAATGTCTTAATGTGTCAATATTACATATAAAACAGATGATCATGTGATTTCCTCCTGTATTGAGATAATAATTTGCAAAAGCAGTATTTCCAGAAAAGTTACATAAACAGAATGTATTAATATTCTAAAACATTATCCCAATACTTCAGTGCACTGAATCATACTAATAAGATTTGTTTGCAGATTACATTCCTCCATAACAGTGAATGCACTAAAATATACTGCCAATTAGCTTCACTGTGTCAAATATTTTTCTAATGTTTATCCCACAAGTTTCTGTGTAATCAGTGAAGTTTCCCAAGGTGCAGCTGGGAGGGAGCTACAACCACCAAACACATTTTGTATTACCTCTTTTTACATCATTTCACAAAGATAACTTATACAACTTTGGAGATCTGTGTGTATAGGTCATATAAAAAATAATAATAATAATGATCTGGTCACTCAATCCACTACTATTAGATACTTATTTGGGGAGGACAAGTTTTCAGGTCTATGGAGAGAGAGTGGGGAGAGTGGGATTGAATTGAATAACTCGTTTCAAAGAGTCAGCACAGACACGATGGGCTGAATGGCCTCCTTCTGTGCTGTATAATTCTATGATTCTGTTTGTGGGACACTGCTGTGCGCAATCGGCTACCGCGTTTCCCCCACAAGATACACAGTGAACTCACTCTACCGTATATTGTGTGAAGCGCTTTGAGGTGTTTCAAAAGCGTAACAAGGCGCTAAATAAAATGCAAGGACGATGCGTTGTCGGTTGTCAAAATTGTGAAATCCACAGTTGCAGATGATTGCTTATTGCACCTTATCTTATCACACCATGTAACCTGCTCAACGTTTTTACACGAGTCATCGGTATTTCCGTGGACAAATTTTACGATGGTAAAACAATCCACCCGAAAGATAATCAATACTGCGGGTTCAAATGGTGGCACTCAGATGCACTCGTTTACCAATAACTGACGTTGTCTCGTAAATTGCTGCGGATTATTACCTTACACTTCGCATTGACAGTCCACCTTGACAGTTCAACCAAAGACCACCACCCCCACAGCCCCCCCCCCCCACACAGCCTTGGGACCAAGTTAACTTTCCGAACTGATCGCCTTACTTCCCCGACCGTGTACGACAGTTTAACGTACACAGAGCCGGGGGAGGGGGCGGAGGGGGGAGGGGGGGAGGGGGCGGAGGGGGGGGGGAGGGGAGGGGGGGGGGCGGTGTGTTTCTTTGTTTACTGTGGTACATGTACACCTCTCGGGGTTGCAGATTTCCTCTCGCACCGACCGACCCCTTTCCTCACCCGTCCGTGGCCCCTTCGCGAGCGCAACTCACTCTGCAGCCACGTTGAGTCACAACACCCTTCGCGAACCGTCAACTCCCACAGATTTATCTCCGGGGCCTATCTTCCCCACCGCCGCCGCCGCCCACATTTGTTTGATCCGGTGCCTGCGGCGTGTAGCTGACTCGGCTCGGGGTGGGTGATGGTGGGTCGGGGAGGGAGGGAGGGGGGGGTGGAGGGGGGATTAGGTTCAAGTGATCGGTCTGGGAAGTTTCTTACGCGATTTGGGGCGGAGGGGAAACGATCCGAAAATCCACGCGTTCTTCCAACTCGGCGGTTTAACGTCTTTTTTCTTTGCTCCTCTCGAGCCCCCGAGGTGCAGAAATTAACCATCGGCGGGTGAGGGGGAAAAGGGGGCAAAGGCGGGCGGGGGAGGGGGAGGGGGGGGGGGGGGTGTAGGCCCGAGCTGCTGGGACTCACCGCTTCTCACCCCCTCCCTCCCGCCCCTTTGTTGGGCGCTTAAAACTCACCGATCAGTTTGCGCACTTCTTCCACGCTCATGTACACGTTCACCTCGGGGCCGGACAGAGCCAGGCTGCCCGAGCAGCAGAGGCAGCAGCAGCAGCAGCTCCACACGACCAGAAGGAGCCGCCGGCGCCACAGGAACAAGGCGACCCCCTGGCCCCAACGGCTCGGCGCCGCCATTCCCCGGACCGGACCCGACCGACCCGACCCGACCCGCCGCCCACGGCGGCGAACCCCCAACGTCCCCCCCCAGCTCCGGTCAGCGATTCCAGCAGCAGCGGCGCGTGGCGGTGTCGGTGGCGGCGATGGTTGTTGTTGTTGTTGTGGTGGTGGTGGCGGTGTGGGTGCGGGTTTTTTTTTCTCTCTCTCTCTCTCTCTCTCTAACCCGTCGGGTTCAGGGTCGGGCGGTTTCCCCGCGTCTTCATCGCTGAACCGCGGCGGTGCATCGGGGACGCAGAAAGAACTCCCGAGCCCAACCGGACCCACTCGGGCTCCCCCGCCCGGCCACCAACCGCCAGCGCTCGCGCCTGGCTCCGCGCACGCGCGAGCGGCGATCGGCGACGCACGTACGCACGCGCCTCAGCGTCATAAGTGGGCGGGGCGGGGCTGCAGGGGGGCGGGGCTGTAGTGTGGGGAGGGGGCGGGGCTGGGGGGAGGGGGGGTGGTGGGGGGAGAGTGAGACCAACTCATACAAGACACTGGAGTGTCTTGACTTACAACACAGATCATTTACACCCACCCCCCACGCCCCCTCTCACACACACACACACACACACCCCACCCCTTCCTGACCCCCTACCTGCACCGTGTGCACGAGCAAGTGTGCAATGACCTCATTCGAGGTTGCACTACAATTCGAGTAATAATCAATAGTAATAACAATGCCTTCGAGGCGTCTCAAAGCGCTTCACTGGTAATACGCCGCAAAGCGCATTGGCTGTAGATGTTTTGCGGGCCCGACGCGGCAGCCAATTGCGCACAGCAGCAGCAGCAGCAGCGTCCCACGAACAGTGGCGGATCGAAGCGACCCAATTTTATTCATGCTTTTTTTTTTTCCTCGACGGGTTATTGTCAGGCGTGTGGAGTAAGGAAACTTACCCAAAGTTTCGACCCGCCGGGAATCGGACCCAGGTCCTCTCTTGCTTGCGAGGCGACTGCTCTAACCGCTGAGCTGCAGGACTCCACAATTCTGAATGGGATTTTAAAAGAAAATCAACAACGACAAAATGACATTTGCAAAGCGGCTTTCAGATCGGGAGGACATCCCAAGGCACTGGACAGTCAAGCGTTTTGGACCCGAGCTGGGGGAGGGGGGGGGGTCGGGATTGGGAAGAGTGGAGGGCAGTAGGGGGGGAAGCAGGGTTATCGAAAGCACGGTCGAAGAGGACGGTCTTGAGATGGGTCTTGAAGACGGCAAGGGAGAATAATAATAATAACCTCTGAACAATACTTTGACTGTAGAGTCTGTCAATGGGATTGAAAAAGTACTCCCTCCCCTGAACAATACTATACTGTGAAGTCAAGTCTGACAATGGGATTCAAAGAGTACACCCTCCCCTGAACAATACTTTAGCACTGTAAGGTCTATGGAAATGTCATTCAAAAAGCAAACCTGTAATGGTACTTTACAATATAATAAAATAATCCTTGCATTTGATAGAGCGCTTTTCACATCTTCTCGACGTCTCAAAGCGCTTCACAGAATAGACTGTAAAGTGAATTGACCGTATATTTGTAGGCGAAACGCGGTAGCCAATTGCGCACAGCAGTGTCCCACAAACAGTCGTGGATTGAAAATGACCAATTTATTATTATTTTTTTTGAGGGATTATTATCAGGCGTGTGGAGTAATGAAACTTGCCCAAGATTTCGCCCTGCCTGGAATTGAATCCAGGTGTCTCGCTTGCAAGGCGAGTGTTCTAACCACTGAGCTATAGGACTCCATGATGCACCGAGAAGACAAGAAGCAATTTCAGGACAGACATCAGGACTTCTTTTCTTGACCCAGAGGGTAATTAATGGCTGGAACAGGTTGCCAGGAAAAGTGATTGAGGCTGGGACAGTGAACTCGTTTAATAAACAAGTTGATAATGTGATGGGAAGAGATAGGTAGGTATTCTGGAAAGATGGGATCAAGTGGGCTGAACCAATCGTGATCTTGTGACTGAGAACAGGCCATTTGACCCATCAAAAGTGCTCTTACAACCATGCAAAACCCAGACTACCATGGATCAGACTTCACGCCCCTCCCCATCTCTGCATCCTGGAGGAAGGTTTTGTAATCATATTACCTGAACCCCAGAAGTAACCGAACAGAAAATACTGATTATTCCCAGCCATCCCTAGATCCTCTATATTTCCCTTCTTTTGTAGTTCAGCAGTCCAGAATTATTGTGTCCCATGAAGTATTTGTTCAGCTCAGTCTACACCTATCCTGTATAATCTAATTATGTTCTCAGGCAGATCAAGTTAACTAAATGTTTTGAAGGATTTAACCATCACAGCATCCACTGGATTTTTGGAAATCTGTAACAAAGTACATGTTACTTTGTGTCCTTCTGTTTATTGTCAACAACAACAACTTGCATTTACATAGCACCCTTCATGCAGGGTAGTGTCCCAGAGCGCTTACTCTCATCATGTTCTGAGGAAAAGAACTTGCATGGAGAAGATAAAAAGCACAATCTGACTGTCCAGAAAGTACAGCCAAAGAACCTGGCCACAAGTCACTTGTGGTCGCCTTTAAAAACTCTGGTCAAACCCCACATTCATTCTTTCAAAGCCTTGCCAAACCTTGACTGCATCTTCCTCTTTCCGGTAACAAACCCATCTCTCTATGTTTTGTTCAGTTTCACCCACTGAAACTGTTACTTACTTTCCCTCATTGACCCCAAACACAATAATAATAATAATAATCCTTGCGTTTGATATAGCGCTTTTCACGTCGGGAGGACGTCCCAAAGCGCTTCACAGAACACACAGTAAAATGAATTGACTGTATATTTGTGGACGAACGCGGCAGCCAATTGCGCACAGCAATGTCCCACAAACAGTCATAGATTGAAAATGACCAATTTATTATTTTTCTTTGGTTTTGGAGGGATTATTATTAGGCTCTGTGTGGAGTAAGGAAACTTGCCCAAGGTTTCGCCCTCTGCCTGGAATTGAACTCAGGTCTCTCGCTTGCAAAGCGAGTGCTCTAACCACTGAGCTACAGGACTCCAAAGCAACAGAAGTCCACACAGTTGGTAAGGATTGCTTATAAAATTGATAGTAGTCCTTCCTTGTGTCCTTTATAAATCCTTTTCATATATGAGCCTAAACAATATGAAGCCAATTGATCTCATTGTCTAGGCTCACACATGAAGAGTGGCTTTTAGGATGAGGTGGATGTGTGGTATCATTGAATTGAATTGTATTCCAATCTAATAAAGCCTTTATGAGAGGAGAGAAAATAGGAGAGTACTATTTTAAAATACACCAGTAAACATAATTTGCATCAAATATATGCAAGCTTTCAGCAAAGATTGTTCAAAGTTAGAACTGAAAAAATGCAGAATATCAAAGAGGTTGGAAATAATAAGTGTTATCACACGTAATTGAGTTGAGCAAAGTGACTTCAATTTTTTTTTAAAAAAGTCTGTCAGTTTCCCAGGAACTTCTGCAGCTCAGCAAATTATTTTATAATCACATAAAAATAGCAGAATGACTACAAAAAAAATATATGGAAACCAGATGCAAAATGAAAGGTTAAAATTCTTCATGTTATTTTTGACAGTGTAATGATATGAACTTTGTCCTGGGATTAGTATTTATCAGCAAAATGAAAACATAATTTTGATTCAAAATATGAAATACAGACCAAAATTATCCTGTGAAAATACCAGAGAGCAATTTTAAAATTGTTTCTTATTTTATAACCAGTTAGCAGTGCATGTAATTCAAAAGTAACCATATCACCATAAACAAAAATACATTAAAAACAGATGCAATGAGACATAAATTTTATTATTGTTACTTGGATGTTGTAAATCGTGGATAGCGAATATCGACAATGTTTGTTGTGTTTTGCGACAAAATTATGTATTTTATGAATTTTTAACTGAATAAATATGCTCAATTTCTTAAAGTATTGTTAGATTCTAAATATAGAGAGTTAAAACTTAGTTGCAGGCACTTTCCCTTTCTACTGGTTACTCAGCAAATGAACTGTGTGCTGTGGCACTGAGCCATACAGACTAGGAGAGTCCCAGGTTTGATGACTGGTCTGTGCTGAGTTAGCTGATCTCAAAACTAGAGTAGGCAATGGAGCAGAGAGAAAAAAAGTACTGGCCACTCCTGATTGCTGTGCTGTGATTCATGTTAGAAATACATGCTTGCTTGAGGAAAAAGTTGGACTTGATTGCATTGTCATCCACAGTTAGCCTATCATAATCAGTATGGAGGCTTGTAAAATGAGGCATGACTGACTATTCACTTTAGGTACTGTATGGCTGCATACCCCACAGCAGTCTTTGCCATGGAGTAAAGAGGGAAAAAAAGGGGGTAATTGGAGCAGAAAGAAAATATTTAACAATGTATTTAAGAGTTTCACCAACACACAAGTGAGTAACAGACCAAAATGATTCAATTCCAATGACTGTAGCAGATGCAGTTGGATGCTATTACTAATCTCATGATGATCCACAGACCAGGGAGAGGAATAAGCAGGGAGGGTATTCTTCAAATAGACACTATCTCCGGATGGAAAATCTGTGCATGTACCTGCAGTTGATAGCAGGATCAGTTGTAATGTCCTTCCATGGTCAAATAAGACACATGGCTCTAACTTGGCTCCCACATGGCCACTTGGTAGGAGAGAACTATGCCCCAGCATGAGTCAATGCCTTCGAGGCTGCAATGTACTTCAGGAGTTGTCATGACAGCAGTAGTTTATTAACTTGTGAGAAGCCAATGTGTGTTATAGCTGGAAAGCTGTCTTACATCTACTTTTTATGTGATATTTAATTTGCCATTCCCATTTTGTCCCATATCTGGATTTTTTTCCCTGCTGCTGGGCATATTAAGGTTGTCATTATCTGCTGGGTTAAACAGGTCTCTGCACACACATACCATAAGACTGCAAATGAGGTTATGTATGAAAGATATACAGTACAGGAACAATGTTTTTTTAAAAAAATACATTCCTGAATGTCAGCAACAAAAAACACAGTGCTTCTACACCGGGAAGACCACAATCCAAATGGTTTATTGTACATATAAAAAAAAGTTTAACATGTCATCTGTTTGTACAATG